GTGAAAATGTTCTGTTTGTCGGGGAGACACTCACCAGAACCTGGGCTTTTTAAAATCGAAAATGACAACAGTTTGTAAAAAGAGTAGCTGGTGCTAATTTTGTCACCATGTCACGTGATCTGTCTGGCTTTGCTTTATGGAACAAGCCCCTAGAGCAGGGGTTGTACCCTGAGATGCCCATGAAGGCCAGACAGGTAAGAAAAGCAAGCAGAGAAGGACAGGAGTAGGGACTGGGGCCAAACAAGAATGTTTGAGCCAGCCTCTGATGGTACCACTCAGCTTCAGACAGCTGCTGCTATGTTGGAGTGTGGGACTGGAGTGAGTGTAACTGAGAGAAGATGGAAATTGGGATATTTGTGTGAAATTTTCAAGTTAAAAAAAAAGAACACCCTCTTGTGATTGGATGAAGCCTACAGAAATGCCAATTTTCTAACCTCTGTACTAGATTAAACTGTGCGTGTACAGGGCCATGGGCCCGTCATGAATCATCAGAAGTCTAGTCCAGGCTCGTACATTGAAAACCACTCTGCAAATATTTGTTGAGTGCTATTCAGTTTGGGGTGGGTAGGTGGGGTTATGAAAACTGGGCTTTCTAGGACAATTCGATCAACTTTGCTGAGAGTTTAGAGTCCGGCTGGGTGATGATGCAGATGGAGAATGAATACAGCAGATTTGGAAGTTTAGTATTTACTAACATTTATACATGACAGCTGGGAGAAAATGGGAAATAAGGAACACTGTGATAAGTATGATTTTGGCATCACCATCACTGATCAAATAATGAATGTTCTGAGTATATGCTGAGGACAATGTAATATACAGAGACACACAACACTAGACACTGCCAATGTGATTGTTTTGGGGTGTTTTCTTTTGCCTAAGAGCATTTGGACTGATCTTACCTGCTTCTCTTTTGTTTGGAGCTGTGTGTTATAACTGGAACATTCGCAGGTTGAAATGCTGCCTACTTTTATAAAGAACTGTGTTCTTTAAGCCCCACTATAGAACAGCAGGCTAAACCACAGGTCAGATAGTGTGCTGGTCAAAGTTCTCAGCCAATTTAACTTGGGTTCCTTCATTAGTTCCTTCTGATTCACCGTTCAAGAGACATTCATTTTTTTATCATTCAAGAAATGATAAAGGTACCCAGACAACAACTAAAACATGAGTGCTTATTGGGCCGACAGTGTAGAAAGATGGACCAGCCAAAGGAAGCCTGACAGAGAATGGCACTGCGGTGCCAGGTGGCATTCTGTTTCCTTCTTACTTGTCTTATTTAGTTGCACATCTTAAATGCAGGGCGGGTAGATGGGGTTTTTTATGCCTGGTAAGACTCACTTGAATTCCCAGACCAAAAAAGCAACAGCAGTAGCCACATTCACTCACTGCTAAGTACTTTTCATGCAGTGCAGTGTATCATTCAGTCCAACAACAACTTTTGTGAATCAGGAAACTGGAGCGGGTGCAGTGACCATCATGTGCGTGCTCTCCAGCGTAATGATGGGATCACCAGGTAACCTTTCCCTGTGGTCTGTGTACCTTGTCCATACCTGTGCATATTGGCTTGTAAGGTTTCCTCATCCTGTACTGTTTTCATACACCAGTAGTGTGTGAGTGCCCTAAGGCTTTTCTGCATCCTCATCACACTTGGCATAATACCAGGGAGATACAGGCAGACCCTGGAAATACTGCACATGTGGTTCCAGGCCGCCTCAACAAAGTGAAAAAGCAAGTCACACCAATTTTTTGGTTTCTTAACACTTATCAAACTTTCATTTATGCTATACTGCCAGCTATTAGGTATGCAGTAGCATATCTAAATATATATATATCCCTTAAAATCTACTTTATTGTGAAAAATTCCAATCATCATCTAATGCTGTGTGGCCACAAAACTTCAATTTGTAAAATTCATATTATCTGTGAAGTGCAGTAAAATAAGGTATTTTGGATATTTGGCAAATATAGTGGATGCTTGGCAAATGTTAGAAATTCCTTGTAAGGAATTTTGTGGTTGTTGAACATTGTAGGTTGGAGAAAATCCAGTCTTACTGATCTAGTTTATCTCATACTCAACAACCAGTTACTTAATTAATAGTCTTCACTTTCTCAGCCTTGTGTTGGGTCCACAGCAGGTGCAAAAGAAGGAGCCCTGTCTTCTACTCCCTTGGAGCTGGTGTCCACTGTAAGACCTGAACAAGAAAGACCCTGCCCTGGTTCTGTGGGGTAGAGAGGGCGTCTCTGACCCTTCTCTGGCCCTATCTCCTACCCACTGCAAGGAGTCTATGGGACCGAAAGCCATAGGCTCCTTCTTTTAGACCATGTACCGAGTATTTATGATCCTGGAATCCCCCCTCTCAGGTGTCTCTGAGCCCACTTCAAGGTCTGACATCCATGGACAGAACAGGGCTTAGGGCACATCTCCCAAGGCCTGCTGGGCAGCCAAATCACAGCTGCTTGCAGGATGAGGGGGGTGCGGGTGGGTGGAGCTTGGGGTGCACTTGGGATCAAGCAGGATGGGAAGCTGAAGTGCCGGATCTCCCAGTGCTGCCATGTTGCAACACAGAACTCCAAGGAGCCCCAGAATCCTAAAACCAAGTTCTAATTTCCAAGGTATTCTGAAGCCAAACATCTTATTTAAGTGCTTATCAGATTTTAAAAACCTTTAAATTTTCAACCTATTGGAAGTGGGCCTTCATTGGAGCTGGAATTGTTATTGGGGGGCAGAGGGTGGGCCTTCTGTGGCAGGACCATCTCCTAAGTCCTCCGGTTCTCAGCTTGCATCCCCTGCTACTGGCTCCCAGGTCAGCTGACAGAGTGCACACCTTGAACACCCAGGCTTGGAGCAGTTTCCTCCCTCCGTGAACATTCCTGGAAAGTTTCAAGGGCTCATTTGCATACTAGCTCCTACCACTAGGCTGCTGGGAATGTGCTTAGCAATTCTGTTAATGAATACCGGGTCACCCTGTTTCCTCATTTAAAACACTTTGTGAAGTTGAGTGGCTCTGAACTCACAAATGCCTAATCAGCTGACAGCAACTTCAAAATTGCAGGTCTTGCTGTTGATGGAAAAATGGGAGTTGTGGTTGTTAATCCTTGTGTGTAATCTTCACCAAGAAATGGGGGCCTGGGTTTAATGTCAACACCTAGAGACTTAATGTGGCCCTATTGCTGGAAATCTATACCTTTAGCCAAATCTTGCCTCCCCACAATGTCGGTATTGTCTTGCTACCCCACCCCCACCATTTCCCATTCCTGAGAAAAGATGAGGTTTTAGCAAAGGTCAGCTCAGAACAAGGGCTTCCCAGGCAGTTCAGTGGTAAAGAATCTGCCTGCCCACGCAGGAGACATAGGAGACTAGGGTTCAATCCCTGGGTCAGGAAGATCCTCTGGAGAAGGAAATGGCAACCCACTACAGTATTCTTGCCTGGAGAATCCCATGGACAGAGGAGCCTGGTGGGCTACAGTCCATGGGGTCGCAGAGAGTCATATGTGACCGAGTGATTGAAAACACACGCACAGCTCAGAACGGGAAGGGCCCCTGCTTGCTTTCTCCATCCTGTGAGCACAGACTGCTCCGTACTGGGCCTGCCTGGATCCAGGAACCATTTCATAACTAACTCAGGTAGGAGGGAGTGGGGAGAGGGGAAGAGAAAGACGGTGGGGGTGGTTCCGCTCCAGTCTCCAGTCCAGCAGGGAGCAGGTTTCTCGGAAGCATCAGGTCAGGATGAGGCACGCCCCACTTTGTCCTTACCACCCCCAAAAGGCACCATGGCATGTGTTTTAAGTTAAAGGAAATTCAATTTGATGTTATTTTGAAAGCACACAGAGGATGTCAGAACCCCCTTTGAGGTGGCTGATTGGTGATACTTCATGGGGCTCACAGAAACCAAGTTTCTTGGGGACTGGAAGGAAAGCCAGAATTGATTGGAAAAGTAACTTCTGGCCACGTGTGTTTCCTCTAGCTATTAGTAATCTGCCCCCAAATCCTGTTCAGTAATGCTGATGAATTAAGCAGCCGCTTTTAACTTTTTCCCACTGAATTGCTTGGCAGTGTCCTCCCATCCCTGGAGAGCACTGGTTTGTATGGACATGAGCATAAGAAACAGATTAAACATTTATTGTTTCAAATGACACCACCACCCTCATGCCAGCTCCAACCATAGATGAAATGGGTAAATAGTTTCAGGCTTTTTTTTCCTTCATAAGAAGACTTTTCCCAAGGTTACTTCTGTCTTCGGCTATATGTCTCTCAGGGCACAGAGGCTTCCATGTCTGTGTCTTTAAGGAAGCCTTGTTCCAAGGCCACAATGTGTTTCAATGGCCATAATTAAATTTGTATTCCAGTTAGCCCAGACTACAAATTTGATGTGTGCACAAAAGAAATTCAGTGGCTGGCGTGGTTGGAAGGCATCTTACTGGTGTGGATGACCAGGCTCAGGTGCTGCTGGCTCAAGGATGAAGACTGGGATTAGCATTTGGGCCAGCAGGAATGTCCATGTCAGGGGTTTGGATGCAGGAAGGGGAAGCCAGAACTGCCCTGCAAGAATCCGGGACAGGAGGCATGCTTGCTGAGGTTAGGTCTTGAAAAGACTGGAAATACACACATGCACACACCTGGCATTGCTGGCTCCCGCCCAGAGAGGGCTGGCTGCTGGGAGGGTGCAGACAGGCCACCTTCCATCCTCCACCGGGGCCTTCCCTTCTTTCCAACCCTGAGGCTCCGGTGCACTGCCTGGCGCTTAGGGGAGAGCAGGGGGCAGGGAGTGGAGGTGGTAGGGGTGTAGGGGTGAAGGGTTCACTCCTGAAGCTTTCCTAGGCTCAAAGCGTGGGGAGGGTGGGACACCAGATCCTGGGACGTGGCTGCACCGCCTGCCTCACCTATCCTGTGTCCACCGTCTCCCATCCCTTTGCCAACTCCACACCTGCTGGTGCCCATGAGCAGGGAGGCCCAGGCGGCTCGCCCAGACGTGGCCCTGACGTTGCTCTTTCGTTTGCAGACGGACTGTGCCCTATGGACTGTCCAGCTACAGAGGGAGCGGAAGCAGGGGCAGGAGGTCGGCTGGGCAGTTCCCACAGAGTCCACCACCGGTGAAGGGGACACTGCGCTGCGCCTGCGCGGAGAGCGATGATGACGCCTGCTTGCAGTTCTGCACCTGGTCCCTGGCTGCCCGCGGGTATGACCCCCTCCCTGGCTTCCCGCACTTCCAGGGATTCTTGCCTTAGGCAGTGTGGGTACAGGAGGTCTCAGCTTGTCCTGGGGGATACCATCCTACGCGCGGTGAGGGTGGGGACTGTGCAGAGGGGATGTGGAGCCTCGGCTCCTGGAGGGCGGTGGACCCTCGGCTCCTTTAGGGCCGTGGGCATGGTATCCCATCCCCTCGCTGCCTTTCAGAGCAGAGTCCATTACATGGCCGCGGCCTTGTCTGGTCTCCAGAGGTATTTCTTCTGGATTGCATAGCAATTTGTCAAAATCTGGATAAGTTGCTAACTCTTAAAGATTGAAGAATACCGCCACCACTCCCAACAAATGCACATTTTTAGCTTCTTCAAAAGTAACAAATGGGAACATCTGGTCTCACCAGCCCACATGCCCTTGTGGCCAGATAGGCTGGTACCGAGTGCAGGCCACGGGTGAGACGTGCAACGTCCTTTCAGCTGTGTTACTCATTGGCTTACTTGGAGGCTCCCTCCCTGGTCCCTGAGTTGGAGACCCTGCAGTCTCCTACAAGCGTCTGGAGAAGCTTGTGAGTCAGTGTGGACTCAGATAAATCAGCAGGCCCTAGGTCTGCCCTGTGGTGGCCATTTAAGTTGGGTTTTACCTAATAGCCATTCCTATTAATGCTCCTTGCTCCTGTTTTTCATTAATTTGGGCCAAGACCCGGCCAGGCAAAGCCACCCTGCCGAGCCTCTTCTGAGAGCCATCGCTGGTGGGATGGCACCTCCAAGTGCTTCCTGGGCAAATAAGGACCAGCAGGGGGACTTTCTCTCTATGCAGCAGGTGCCATCCCAACCAGGGACCTAGGGCATGCTATCTGGAACCCCCAGCACAACCACATTTTTCTTCTTGGCTCCTTAATGTCCAGTGGATAACTGAGGTGTGTGGGTGGAGGCTGGGCTTTAGTGGGACTCCACCCCCGTGTGCTCAGCCTTCGGGAACTGGACCCGAGAGGCAGTCCTGGGGGACCATGCTTATACTGGTGGAAAGACAAACCTTACTGGATGCTGAAAAACCAGACACATGGAAATGTAGGTTGATTCATTTGAACTGGCTCTCTCCCCGCAGGAATTCAAGGTCGGCGCAAACACCTGACAAAGAAGTGGGAAAGCAGACTGGTGGTGCCCTGGGGGGCATGCGTCCGAGGAGGTGAAGTTGCTTTCTGAGTCGCTGCCCCTTGGGCAGCATGGAGGACATGTGGGGCGCATTTGGTTTGTGTAGGCGGCTAGCGGGAACCCCACTGCATGTGGGGGGGTGTTGCTTTGTCCCCTGGGGTCAGAGCAGCCAAAAGCTGTGGACAGCCTGCCCTCTGTCTTAGGAGCTGACCCCCTGCATTCCCTGTGGCTTTTGAGCAGTGATGTCCAGCCCTGGCTTTCACCAGGTCTGGATAAAGCTCACCAACCACTGCATCTTGGAGCCCCTGCAGGCTCATCTGCTGGGGCCAACATTGTGCCTCTGCTCCCATAGCAAAATGTGGTCTTTAGAAAAAGAATCATTTCTTCTTTTCAGCAGCTGATTCTGGACAGAGATGAATTAGAACAGCTGGGTGCCAGGCCCTCCAAGTCCTCCAGTTCATTTTATAAATTTTTTTTAACCCGTTTGTGGTTTTTGTATGATCCCGAGGGCTTCCAGCAGCCCAACTGGGTTTATGTGTCATTCTATCAATCAGAAATTGTTATTAATGAGTTGTCTACACATCTGCAATGGGATGGTAATTTATGTTCGTAGCAGTGGCCTGGATGGGGTTTGGGTTCCTACATGGTCTGATCAAGGGAGGGTTAAACCCTTCTGGATATATACAAGGCATCCCAGATTGGTGGCAGATTGCTTCAAGTCATCTGGAGAGGACTCTGTCAGTATCAACAATAAAAACGTGGAGGAGCGGCAGAGGCAGGCCCTGGAGAGGATGAGTTAGGCCCCCACCAGTCCCCACTTTGCCTCTTCTTCCTCACCCCAAACCCAAACCACTCTCAGTGAGGGAGCAATATGATTAAACCATCCACCCATCATGTCATTTATTCAATTCAGCAAGGATTCATTGAACACCTGTGATGTACAGGGTACCATCCTAAATGCTGGGGACACCACCGAGAATACGGCAAAAGTTCAGCCTTCCTGGCACTTAAATAGTGGGAGAAGCAGATAGCAAACCAGTACATAAAACATAGATCAGGGCATGTGAAGGAAAGCAGGAAGCAGGCTGGGGGTAGGAAGTATTGGGGGTGGTTGCAGGTTAGGTGGTCTCACTGGCCAGGTAACAGTGGCATAAAGACCTAGAGGAAGTGGGACAGGGTGAGCCAGAGTGATGAGGAAGGGAAGAGGCTGTCAGACAGGGGAAGGGTAAGTGCATAGGCCCTGCAGTAGGAACGTGCTGTGCTGGGCGTGTTCTGGGAAGGCAGGGGAGGCCAGCGCTGTTGTCATTGTCCTGTCTTGATGTTCAGGAGGTGAGGACATTGGCACAGATGTCCCACCCGGGCCTGGAAAGGAGCTGCTTCTAGGCTTTACAACGTTGCTTGTCAAGCTCCTGTAAGAAGCTTTACTTGGAAAGAAAAAGTCTTTCCTTATAAGCATGGTCCCGACTTTATTGCAAGACTGGAGTTAGTCATCCCTAGATTGACATTTTCAGAGTGGAACTTGCTACCGTCCTGAGCTTGGGATCCTCAAAGATGGGACCAAGCTGCAAGAGAGACAGCTCCTAAGGCCCCACTGGCAGCGATGACGGTGTGTACACCTTCGGGCGGATGGCAGGCTCTGAAATTGCCATGAAGCTCTGTCAAGGAGGCTCCGTTCAAAACAAGGAATGGGCTGAAGAGGGATGGGGTGGCTCCCTTTCAGGTGGTGGAGAGCTTGGCTTTTGTTATAGGCTTCTTTCTTCTCTTTTGCATATCTCTCCCGCCTTTTCTGAGGTAGGCTGAAGTCAAGGCCAGACAAAGCAAGTAGGCTTTAGACCTCCATCAAAGTGGACGTCCCCGCCCCGCGGTCTGCCTGCCCCTCGCTGGCCCTTTTGGGAGCTCCCTGGAGAGAAGGGCCTGCAGCAGGAAGGCCTCAGTTATGGCTCCTCCTTGGTTCACATTTCCACCTCTTTGAGGACAAGAAATGAGTTTTGCCTGGGGGAGAAAACCCACTCAAGGGGTCCTCAAACTTAACAATACAGCCCTTTCCCAAGAATGCCCCCTCCAAAGACCCCAGCTTCCCTAATGGGTAAAATGATCCCAGCTGTGCCTCAGGGCCTGCAGCCCAAGGCTCGGGTTTCACTCAGGAAATTGTTTTTGGAGAGGTATGGCACGTCCCAAAGCCACTTCTCTCTGGGAGTGAGTGGACCCCAAGCTAAGTCTTTGCAAATGTAAACCCATGTCCATCTGGGAACAGATGCAGGCCCCGTCGGAGCATGTCGACGTCCGACCAATCACAGGGCGCAGGCGCAGGGGTGAGCTAGCAGATCACATCTCTACAGGAGTTGATGAGTTTGAAGCTTATGGGATTTAGACAGACATTTTCAGCTTTTCAGCTGTGCTTGGTACGCACTAAAAGAATACATCTAAAAAAGGAAAGGAAGAAAGAAAGGATCCTTGATGTCTGTGATACGTAAAGGAGGAAATGAACACCTGAAGGTTTTGAACCCCAGGCCCCACAGCAGAGGGACTTCGCGCCCTTTGCCAACAGGCGCACTGATGAACAATAGACCTGGTTCCCTGGAAGCCACTGTGAAGGCAGCCCCAGCGCAAGGCTATTAGTGTGATATTTGTTTTCAGGAAGAAATGTGGATCTTTGGGGAATGGCTTCAAAATAAGCCGCAGACACAAGCGCTTTGTAAATTATGTAAATTTCTATTTATCTATATAATTGGCAACAACTGGGAATTGTAACGCCTGACAGTTCGCAATCTCTTTCAGCTGCGCTCTAGTGGCTATGCTGAGATTACTGAGCAGCTGAAGAAGACGGTGTTTTCAACCATGGGGATGGGGAGAGGCCGCCCATCCCCTCCCCCTTCCCCTGCCGAGGTGCTAATGCAATGGTGGATGCTGGGGTGTTAGCCTTGACCAAATGCTAAATTCTCCATGAGTATTATAAGGTACGAACGTGACTATCCATCATAAGGAAATGGAAAGGACTGATGTGCCAGCGAGATGGTATACAGTTTAGAGAAGCGATTATTTATTGTGAAACTGGTCTCTACATCAACTCCTTTCAGTGGATGTGTTCGCAGCAGAATCTCTGTACATAGAGATGTTAAATTCTGAATCCCAGCTCATGTTCCTTAGGGCTTGAATTACACTTTTTTTAAACGCCTAAGCACTGTTTGGCTCTGTGGCAGGATGGTATCTCAGAAACGCATTCATTGTGCTAACACTCAGAAAATACTGTCAAATGCAAAATAAAAAAATCTGAAAGTTTGGTCTGATTTGTGGGTTTTTCTGGCTGGTGTGATATACATTGTTACACATCAGCTTTTCTGTGGGCCCTGGGAGAGGACAGAAAACAGTTACTGTTCCAGAAGTAGATTGATCTAAAGTCGATTATGGAGCAAAATGAGCAAGGGGGCTGCTTGAATTGTAAGGAAGAAGTGAATCTAGGGGACCGTCTGAGAAAGATAAAACATTCAAGGTGGTTGGGAAGAGATATATTTGGGGGAACGACGGCTCCTTCCTCTGGTTCCTCCCTTGTCAGCTTCATAGCGATGCACACCTTTGTCTTCTGGCCCCACAGGCACAGAGGTATTGAGCAGGATCCCGGGGAGAGGACAGTCGTAGCCAACAGTGGACCTTCGTATTTTATTTTGCCCTGCTACTCATGATACTTGAGTAGCATTTTATTTTGCCTTGCTACTCACTATTCTTGAGAATTAAAAGCCAGAAGTGACCACCTTTGTTTGATCTTCTCTATCAATTACAATGTTTTTAAGCCTCCAAGACTTACAAGACATCTGGGTGGTGGAAGTGCCAGGTTCTTCTCTCCTGCCCTCCTTCTTTCAAGTCAAGCATTGGAGACCATCAGGGATTGGGACAAAGAGACTCAGCCAGAGAGCCAGGAGAAATCTAGTATGCTGGGGTTTGAGCACATCTAACCTGAGAAAGCCCAAGAGCCTCTTGTCTTAATTAAACAAACTTTAGAGAGTTTCGACTTTGGTGAGCTGATAGAATTGGGTACTGATTTATCCTTCAGGCTGTTCGGCAGGACGGGAGGAGCTGCCAGTGTTCATGGGAAGCACTCCTTCTGGGCTCTGAGCCCTCGTAGCTGCTGCAGACGGAGAGAGGAGGAGGAGGGTCAAGGAGTCCCGGGAGCTGGGAGAGAGGGTTCCGATGCTCCTGGGTTCTGTGTGGACGTCCAGAGGAGTGCCCATGGAGTTATGTGTGAGATGGGCTACAGGGCTTGCAGGACCCAGTGCAGAGCGCCCACACAGGACTCCTTGTGAAACCGCGGGTACTCATTAGTTAAATCCATTATACCTGTAACCTGCCTTCACACATCAAGGTCATTTAAATCATTGCTTGTCCTCCAAGGAGCACAGAGCCTAACCATAAGATATTTGCATATGTTCCAAGAACTTGGAGTCAGCTGTGTCTAGTTCAAGCTAAGTCGGTTAAGACTGGATGGGACCACCACCCCTCCAACCGGGCACGTGTGAGTGTCTGCCCAGTGACCTCGTGATGTCAGGAAGCTGAAAAGCCCACCTCCACTTGTTAACATGCAGAGGCCTGGAGCTTGGTTACACTGCTCAGGTGACAGTTACTGTACCTTTTTCCAACCAGCTTTCCCCATGCTGCCCTCACCTAAGACTGCCCTTTTTTTATCCCATGAAAACCCCAAACCCCTTGCCTCCAGGAAGGGTTGCCTGGGAGTCGGTCTCTCATCTCGTCACCTGGCTGCCATGTGAGTAAATCCTTTCTTTGCTGCACATCTTTGCATCTTAGCGTTTTGGCTTGTGGGTCGGACACTGGTTCAGCAACACTGAACAAACACAGTTCAAAATTACTGAGATTTTCAAGATGGCGATGGTGGAGCCAAACTAGGAGCCCTTGCTGAGCATGGGGTCCGTTTCCTGGCCAGGTTGCAGGCCTGGGAAGTCCAGCAGAAGGGGCTTTTCGAGCTGGAGACCTGCCTTTGCTGCCTGCCAAATCCCCATGGGGAACAAACTTTAAACTGAGCCTCAGTCTCCTCATTTATAAATGGATGTGATTACTGGCCACCACTTATCTATCGGCCTTATTAGGAGGCCAGATGGAAAGAAATGATGTACATAGACAATTTTTTTTTAATCCTAATCTCATACAAGGAAAAGATACAGTCTTCAAAGTTTGCCCTGAACTTTAGTCACTCCTATTTTTGCTTAAAAGTTTCTTGTGGAAGCGTATCTTTGAATGCTCTTCAAAGTAATGGAATTTGACTTATAGAAATTGTCAGGATAGTCAATCATCCCACCCCACCCCCGGAAGACATGTATTCTCTAAAGCCCCAAATCCTTTTATATGAATTCTTAAGTATCTCAAAGCTGAAGCAAATCAAGTTACCTGTTATTCACACCATTATGAATCCACTTGGGTCCTTCTGTCACTGAAGATGTGATTTCTTTTCTCTTCGCTGGCAGGAACGCTCAGAATTGTTGAGATCTGAGTGGTATTGAGTGCGGGGAAATTGTAAGAATTAATAACTGCGGGGGGCCGGAATGAATGAATGCAAGCAACTTTCTGCCAGGCGTGTGTCATTAATCCTTGCAGCATTCCAGAATGATGCTCTAAGTGACAAGAGGTGGGCGAGGAACGGAAGAGGCAGAGGGATCAAGAATTCGTGACAGGGGGAAAGAGCCCCATGGGACTGGGGAGGTCGTGTATCGAACACGAGCTCATCGCCTCCCCTCTCTTCTTCCTCCCTTCTCCTCTCTCATCTTTGTCTGAACAGACCTCCATTATGGAGTATGTCAATTCCTATATATCTATACAATTGTCAAGAACCACCAGGGTCAAGTCTGGTGCCCAGTATCAGCTCCCCTCCAACACCACCTGAGGGAGCTGGCATGGTGGGGGGGGGTGTGTTTTGTACCATCTGCAGAAGCATTAGAACTTTCTCTATCACATTTCTGTTCATCTCATGTAAGGTATTCACAGCAAAGGGTTTCTGCTTCTTCCTCCACATTAGATTGCGTAGTGTGAATGTCCCCTTTGGCTATTGTGGTGGTAGATGTGTATCAGTCTCAGAAAGTGGATGGAGAGAAAGCCCACCTGGACACAGAGATAAGCAATAGAGGCCCTCCAGAAATGCTTATAATGTCATAAATAATGGGATGAAGAAATGAGTATTGACTCAGCCTGCAGGTGAGGAAAACTTCCTTGGGGAGGAGATAAGTAAGAGTAAGCCAAGCCACGCAAGAGAGCAAGGGCACCCCAAGTGATGGGCAGAGCCTCAGCAGAGGTTTGGGAAGGGCCATGTGGGGCACTGTGCTGGGGAAAGGCCAGGAAGCGGGCTGTTCTAGCATCAGCCGTGCACTGGGGTGAGGTGGGAGAGAGCAGATGTGGATGGAAAGAGAGAGAGATGAGGAATTCATGACCACATCCCTGACACAAGGTAGCAAGGCCAACTCCATAACCCTTGAGCCATCTCAGGGTGCCAGCCCCCCGTCTGAAACGTGAGCTTCAAAGGCGGCTGAGTTGTCTAGGTCAAGACAGGTTTCTATTTTGCTGTTTTCAGACACGTCTGTGGGCTCCACCTCCAGAGGTGCTCCCTGGCACCATCTCCCAGAAAACAGGGGTGGCCGTGGAGCAGAGCCCTTGCTAAGCTTCTGTCTGACTGCACCACGGACCTGCCATCCTTCATCTCACAGTGTTTGGGTCTGGCACACGTGGCGGATGCTTTTCAAACATATGTTGGATGAATAAATACACATGGAAATATTGAGTCCTACAGAGCAGGAATCAGCAAAACTTTCCTGAAAAGGACCAGATAGTAAATCCCTTTGGCCATCTGGGCCATATAGTGTCTGTTGCAGCTACCCTGCTGTTTTAACTGGAAAACAACCCTCGGTAATACGTATGTGAGTGGACGAGACGGTTTGGCTGTGTTCCCGTAAAGCTTTATTTGCCAGAACAGTCAGTGAACTGCAGTTTGCCAGCCCTTGCTCTGGAGTGCTCCATGAGGAGTGAATTTTCTATATCCTTGTCCATCTGAAATGTCTTTATTTTGGAATTTATAGATTATAGTTTGGCTGGGGGTAGAATTTTAGGTTGACAGCTCTATTCCCTCAAGTTGCTTGAAGATATTATTTCATTCTCTCCTGGTGTCAGTTATTAATGTTGGAAAATTTCTAAGAGTGCCTTTCTTGTGTACATAATTTTTCTCTTCTCTCTTGTTGATTTAGGAATTTTCTCCTTATCCTTGATGGCTTGTAGTTTCAGTAACAAGGGTCTAGCTGGGGATTTTTTTTCTTTTTTTCTTCACTCCAGTTTGTACCAGTTAGTACTTGGTATCTATTTTCAATCTGAGGATCTCTGCCACCCATCTCCTATTTTAAAAGTTTCTGGAAGGCTTTTTGCTCTGCCCCTAATACTGCTGCTCTGCCATTCTGTCTCTCAGGCGTGCCTATTACTTGAATTTCATTTTTAAGGTATATTTTTTATTGAAGTATAGTTTGATTTACAATGTTGTATAGTTTCAGGTTATAGTAAAATGATTCGGTTGTCCATTATATACATATATCTATATCTATAATGTATATAGATATATTCTTTTTCAGATTCCTTTCCCTTCTAGGTTATTACAAAATACTGAGTATAGTTCCTTGTACTATACAGTAGATCCTTGTTGGCTATCTATTTCATATATAGTAGTATGTATACATTAATCTGGAACTCCTAATTTATCCCTTCTCTCCCTTTTGCCTTTGGTAACCACAAGTTTCTTTTTTTTTTTTCATAGAGTCTGGGAGTCTGTTTCTGTTTTGAATATTAGTTCATTTGTATCATGATTTTTATATTCCAAATGTGATACTATAAGATATTTGTCTTTGACTTACTTAACCTAGTGTGATAACGTCTAGGTCCATCCATGTTGCTGCAGGTGGCATTATCTCATTCTTTTTTATGGCCGAGTAATATTCCACTGTATACATGTACCACATCTTCTTTATGCATTCCTCTGCAGATGGACATTTAGGTTGCTTCCGTGTCTTGGCCATTGTAAATAGTGCTGCTATGACTGTTGTTGTCGCTGCTGTTCTGTTGCCAAGTTGAATCTGATTCTTTGTGACCCCACGGACTGCAGCATGCCAAGCTTCCCTATCCTTCACTGTCTCTGAAGTTTACTCAAAATCATGTCCATTGAGTCCGTGACACTATCTAACCATCTCATCCTCTTTGGCCCCCTTCTCCCCCTGCCCTCAGTCTTTCCAGCATCAGGGTCTTTTCCAATGAG